AAGAGTATGATCTCAAGCCGATATTTTTTATTTGTGAAAGATTTTTTATATCAAGGTAAATTATAACATTTTTGGTGAACCCTAGGTTTTTTAATTAGATTATTGAGTAAAGATAATTTGGGAAAATGATAGTCTTCATGAAATACTCACATGAAAGGATATTTTTTTTATGGAACAAGATGTGTATTAAATGGGAGAAATTATGGTTACTAGTTTTCATTAGATTGGAAAGTATGATTATTTCATGCTTGGGATGAAAGTAATTTTGATAAATTAAAAACTAGTGAAGGAATTAGTGAATAGAATTATCTCCAATTGATTAAAGAAAATTTGAAGAATTCATTCAAGTATCGAGAAATGGAGATTCAAGAGAAAATTTGAAAGTTGAGGAATTAAGTGGTGACTTTATATTAGTTTAACTGCCATATTTTAATTTTAATTATTATATTATTATTTCAAGTAGTGAAGTGGAAGCTTGGAAATGCCCGTCAGTTTAGCCAAGATTTTTATCCATAGAGCAGTGAGTGGAAAAACTTATTTTTCAGAAATAATTATTCTTTAAATTTAAAGTTATTTATTTTATAAAGTTGACTTCGTAGCATGATTTTCAGAATAAAATAGATTTTATTATCAATTATTTTTAAAGTTAGATTCAATTCAGTTGAATCATTTATCAACATGTTATATTTGTATTACATAATTCAACATAGTTAAAGTATTTTTTAAAACCACCAGAGAGTACCTAGTTGATTTTACCATAGTCTACACTTGTATGAATGTGTTTCCACAGTGTATGACCAGTTATGGTGATTTTACCCGCTTTGCACTATTATGAATGTGTCTCCATAATGTATGACCAAATTATCAGAGGTTTTTGGGACTCACTCTCGTACACACACAGGCTTTGGGTCGTATACTATGGTGATTACCCTTTGGGGCAACTCTGCGTAAGCGTGACCAAATTATCAGATTACCAGATTATCGGATTATCAGATTTGAATGGCATTGCCTTGTACATCGAGATTACTCTGTACATGAGTAAAGCTATTAATTGGGTGCCTTTTTGGTGTGATTTTCTAGTATTATACAGCCAATCAGATTATAGATTACAGACTACAGAATTTAGTTTATTCAGTTTAAAAAAATAAAGCTTTTCAGTATGATTTTTCAACATTATACAATTTATTAGATTTTAGAAACAGAATTCAGCTTATGCAGTTTACAGAATAAAGATTTGTATGATTGCAATATATTTTTGTTTTGATAGTATTATCAGATTTCAAATTACAGTATTTAACTTATTCAGTTTAAAAAATAAAAATAAAAAAGATTTTAGTTTATAGTATTGTGAAAGGAAATTTTTACTAGATACCAGTTTTCAGAAAGTTATTATAAAGGGAAAAGTATACCTTTACAAAATATTCACTCGCTGAGTTACACACTCATATTTTGTCACCCTTTTTCTTAGCAAATAGTAGCTGCGTCCAGTCACAATGGAGCCTGTCGATCTACAAGTTGAGCCACACAGTGTCATTTCTTGTGTGTCCATCTTGTCAGTTAATACATCATTTATTTTTGCGATTGATGCATCTTTTATCATAAAATGTATTTATATCACGGGTTCATTGCATATTTCGTTATATGTTTTACAAATGGTGTTGTCTGATTGTAAAGGAATATAAATTTCTTTCCAATGCACTTATTTTGAATAGTTGGTATTTCGAGGGGTTGGTGTACCCTATTTTATATTATATGCATAGATTTGAGAAAATTGATTTTTACTCAGGTGGTTTAGTCCATATTTTAAAGAAGATTCTGTCAAAATTCTTCTAAAAATATTTTTTTAGTCAAGCAAGTCAAAGTTGCCTTAGTAGTGGGTCTGACATTTAGTTGGTATCTACCATCGGCGCACGAGACGTGTTGAGTCCATTAAGGTAATTCGGGACAGGTCGTGTCAGTCTAGATACATACGCTAAGGTCTTTCCCTTGAGCTTTCCTGTGTGGTCTTGTTCTATATTCTTTCGATTTTTGATGGAGTCCTCTGTTTGGATCTCGTTCTAGATCAGGCTTAGCTAGTGACGATGAGAGTTTAGGTTTCTGTTGCAGACATCTCATCAAAAGAGAGTTTCAATTAACGGACCATTCCATAACGGACTCTCCATTCTCTTGCTGCACATCATCCATTTTTTTGGCTAGCTCCTAATTGATATTAATGGCAGCTTACTGTACCATTGCTTAGCAGGTTTATCCAACATTTCAAGGAAACCTTTGGCACTTTAGTATAGAGCTTACATTTTTCAAACTTATTTGTGTTATATATTCGAGCAGATGGTACATCGGATCTCATTTTCTTCAATTTCCTTAAGAATAGCATGTCCTTATCATCATCATCCATGTCGTCTGATCCGACAGGTCGGTGTTCATATTTCTCAAACTGAGGAATTTTATATGAAGTGTTGATAAGGTTGTCCACGCTCCGACCTCCACGGTAATAGCCTGGTTGAACTTTGAGTCGTGTGGGTTTATCTCATCTGCTAGCCTTTCTAGAGTGATTTTATTTACACGTCACTGCTTCCTCTTCTTTTCTAGTACATTGTCGTTGTTTTTCGATGCATGCAGGCTGCTGCTATTTTCACGAAAGAAACAAGCAATAGGCTCCATTTCGTTCTCATCGAACTCACCCTACCAACTCACCTTTGGATTTTCAAATTTTGCGTGCAAGACGCATTTTTCTGCTGTTAATGCCTTTATGCTTTAAACCATCTCCTGGATAGTTTTTGTTGTAGACGTCTTTTCCCATAAGCAACGGCACTAAATAGGGAAAATGTCAACTTGCAACTTTGTCAATGTTTCCTCCAGTTGTCACTTCGAATTCACGTCACTATTCACCGGATCATTATCGTGCTCACGGACTTCAATTTCCAGCCCTTTTACCCCTTCTAGATTTACTTCTCTTTGGCCATTTTTGAATATTTCAAAGATTTGTCGATTTCTATAGATAGATTTGAGGTTTCTTTGCTCATTTTTTCATATACATTGTCAATTTGTTGATGGCAAAATTTCGATTAAAAATTCCTCACCTAGTCAGGATTTTCGCTTCCTATACTCTCTGATTTTGATGCTTAAATAGGAGCAAAACAATAAATTTCTATCTGGGAGGGAGATATTTGAATGTGCAAGCATTTCCTTTCATAGGCAGGAGTATTTATAGTTATCTTTCAAGGTATTGGGGGCAATTAGGTCATTTCAGAAAATAACAGGTGGCAGACTTTCGCTGGTTGGCTTGTAACTGATTTTATTATACATTTACGTTTTATTTACCATCTTACATGTTGTGTGTTGATTGGCTTGAAAGTCGTGTTTCAAATACATATCCATGTGTGTGCTAGCAACGGTTACTGCTAACTTGGAAGAGGAATGGTTCGTCCCTCTTTTGTGCGAACATTCAGTGTTTTTGCTTTCTTAGTATTCTTTTATACTTCACAAATGAGGATGGGCTCGCAAGATAAATTAGTTGTTCTATTAATGGTGTGGTTTTTTATTCAAGTCAAGAGTGTTTTTTCCCCAATATATTTATTTCTAATAATATATCTACAAATTTTTCAGCAAATGATGTTTTTTATAATCATTATGCAAAAAGTATAATTATATCCTATGTACAAGGTATATTTTATTAGTTTCCTTACCTATATCATCCATGTGGACGATGACAACAAAGATGTCGGTTGCGATTGTGGAAAGAGTCAAGTGAAGAGAGTATGGTGTATTTAAGTAACTTGGCAGAGACTAACTTTATTTCAATCCACGTCCAAGTCATTAACTTATTAAAATATAGTAATATTTGTTACCCATCATGATTTGGATTGGTTATCAAAGGAAGTTTCTTCGAAATGAAGAGAATTATATATTGTTAAGAGAGAATATTGTTGGGTAAATAATAATTTCCGCCCCATCTTGATTTGGATTGGTCATAGAAATTTTCTTCGAAAGAAAGAGAATTATATATTGTTGGATAAATAATAATTTCTTCAGAAGACTTAGATCCGCTTAAGAAGAATTCATCTTCAATACCAAAAGAGGACAAAAAGGCTACGAAGAGTAGAACATGTAACGCGTTCATGGCTTAAACAACTCGAAGTCTGAAAGAGTATATTACATCGAAAGAATCGAAACTATTAGTGTTGTGTGAAGTTGATTTCTAAGCTTTTAACTTTACCTAAACACCCAAAATGCTTGAGAACCGACAGCTGCCCAGTACTGAGAATGATAGAATCAATGAGGTTGTCGGCAAGATAATAAAATACTGACTAAATATAATTTAAGAGACAAATAGTGATAATGAAACTTGTATAATTTTCTATAATCACAATACTATACTAATAAAATAATATCTTAAGAATTTGAAAAAATATCATGATATGGAGAGAGTATGATAATACTTTCGTATCTTAGCACTAACATAGGTAATTTTATTTTATTTTATTTTTTTATCTTGATGCCTATCTACATACTCACGATCCACAGATAGACAACTAGAGAGTCTTTAATCATCCACAATTCATTTAAAGATAATGGGATCTTGTTTTCTCACTCACTGATGAAGGACACATCACGACAATCCTAACATACCACTAGATACAAGAGGAGATTGCCATATTAGTTATCGTATTCATGTCGAGAGTTTTCAAGGGTACCAAGCAGCATTCCTTTCAAGCAAATGCCCTATGATGTCTCTGAAGGCATGCTTTTTTCATTCGGCGTATTAGCGGAGATTTCTTGAAAATTTCATAGTGAACGTACAACAAACTTGAGAAGTTAGACCAAACTGCCATATAAGTAAAAGTTGAATTCCAACTTGTGACAACACCGACCAATAGTAGGACCTCCATTGCATGTTTTCCAAAAATAAAAAATAAAAAAAGTGAAGAAAAAATTGTATTTTTTATATAAACGAGACAGATTTGGACATTCCTCAATCACCTTGTGGTGTATCAACCAATATGAAGGAAACTTGCATTCTGCTCCTCCTCTTATGGCTTCCATTGAGTTTGGCCATATCAAATCAGACCCTCAACAACAGCATAATGACCATGCCTGGCTGCCCAGCCAAGTGCGGAAACTTAACTGTTCCATACCCGTTTGGCATCGGTTTAGGTTCAGGGTGTTCCATTGGATCTTTCTTTGACATCAACTGTAACACGTCTTTCACTCCTCCAAAAGCCTTCATCGGTACAGGTAATTTAGAGGTTATTAACATATCAGACACCAAAGTCCGGGTGAAAAACTGGGTAGCTTCCAGATGCTATGATGCGTTTGGTGCTGTAACCCTCGAAAACCCAGTTTCGTTGAGTCTACGAGCCACGCCTTACAGCTTGTCAAATGAAAATGTGTTAACAGTTGTGGGGTGTGATGACATGTCCTTAGGAATCCTTCAAAGCTACAGAGGTGGATGTATTACAATGTGCTCAGACAGGAGTGAATTGAGTGACAAACATTGTTTGGGAATTGGCTGTTGTCAGACCTCCATTCCCAAGGGTCTAAAGGTCTTTGTTACTTCCCTGGAAACCTATGAAAATCACACAAAGGTCTGGTCTTTTAACCCATGTGGCTATGCCTTTCTTGGAGAGAAGAATAGCTACGTATTTCGCCTTTCTGATCTCTCCAATCCACATATCGAAGAGAGAATTTTAGAAACTGTGCCATTGGTGTTGGACTGGGTGATCGACAATAGAAATTGTATTGAAGCTCAAAAGTTCAATAATTTTACTTGTCAAGAAAACAGTATTTGTATCGATCCTGATTCTGGTTTTGGAGGATACCGCTGCAGTTGCTCTAGTGGATATGTGGGAAATCCATATCTCAAACCAGGCTGCCAAGGTTGGTTAGAATACTTCATGGATAAACCAAAATGACTTGTAACCCCAATATAGACATGCATCTGACTTTTCTTTGTTTTTTCAGATATCAATGAATGCGACAGTAATCCCTGCGTTGTAAACGGGATTTGCAGTAATACTCCTGGTGGTTACCACTGTTTTTGCCGGAAAGGTTACGTTGGTGATGGCAAAAAATCTGGTGTTGGTTGCATTCTCTTGCATTCTAATATACCTCCCCAGCATTCAACTAAACTACTAGTGTTTCCAGGTTATAAACACTCATCACCCTTGCGAATTTCTTCATCTCATTTCCTTGCATCCTGTGTTTAATCCGTTCAGTCAAAATTAGAAGTCTTTGCTCCTACTAGGATAAATGGCACAGGAGAAGCGGTGTGAATACTCCCCAAAAAAATTTAAAAAAAAATTATAAAAAAATAGGGCTCCAGGATTTTCCGTTTCTGAAACCATAATATCCGTTGCTATTACTATTTACCAACAGAATATTAGCGATCACAAATTCATTGTTAATTTGGAGGTTGCTGATAGT